AAATTTTAAATCTTTAAATATTTATTGCCTACTCCTTTTTATTTTGAGAATTCTAATTATATGAATATAAGTTTCTTGGTTTTGACACAGTGAACTATTATGACTGATCTGTAAATTCTTTCATTTTTATTTTGGACAACTTTTATTGTTATGTTTATTTATGTTTGTAAATAATTTATTTTCAATTAGGAAACTATTAAAACAATTTTTTATAAAAGCAAAAAAAAAGATGAACAAATTCAAATGACAAACAAATACATAAAAACAGTTCCAAAGAAGTTGGGAATCCTCTTTAACTTCTACTTCATTTCTATTTATACTCGCATGGCCTCCCTCACGTTGATTCCACTCCAGGGCAGCTGAATGCCAGCTGGCGAGAGAACAAAAGACAGAATTAGACCAGCCTGTCCAACCTTGAACTGATGCACTATATCCTCTTCCCAGGGAGCTGGTGGACTTACCTCTGCAGGACACATATAAGCACACATATAAGTGACAATTGGTCTCCTACATCCGCATCCCAGCAAGAGGGGTTGTTCCACTCCCTAGAATGAGCCAGCTCCCCATCATCTTACACAGCTCCTTCTCCACCAGACTGAGTACAATCCACAGCTGCAAACTTTGATTTCTCTGTAGTTGCTCCCAAGGCTTGGGAAGGCCCTGGCTAGAGCTCTGTTCTGGGCTTCATCCTGTTGAGGGCAGGGCTACCCAGACTGAGGGAATCAGGGAAACCACACTCTCCAAAGGATCAGAAAACAAGCAAAGCTGAACACACACTAAGACTGTAGCATAGTTTATTAGTGTGAGGCTCTAGAGAGGAGGAGTCAGAGAGGGCAGCATATCTGGGCTTGGGCTCCTCATTAGGGGACCGGAGCTGGGGCTGAAGCCAGGCTGCGGTGTGCTGCCTGGGGAAGCCATGCTGGTTCTGCCCTCGTATTCTCAATAGTGTTTGGCCATATTGAGAGGAGGTGTAGAGAGCCGCTTCCTAATGATGGCCTGGCTCATAATGACCACAGTAAGAAGTACAAGATGTTCACAGTGAATGTTGTTGAATTGTAACATTTCCTGCAGGCTCTTTTCGTTTTTCCAGGGTCTCTGCATTCAAGGACCTAAAGTTATAAACAGTTATAATGAACATCCAGGAATTGGTCCATGGCAATTGTCCTCGCAATCACAAATCTCCAAGTAGGGGGATCCTGAGTGAAAGGCCAATAGATGTTTGTGTTTCTAAGTATCCTTATTGGTCTCTCAGGAAGCAATAAGTGGAGGCCAGGGCCTTGGGAAGAGGAGCCAGCACCAGACTTCTGAAGAAGCAAGCTGCTCACCTTGGGTGGGGACATGGATTCAGGTCCTGGATGGTATCCTTCAGGCTCTGGCCATGTGTCTCAAGCAGCAGGAAACAGAGTGCTCCTGCCACAATGGGGGTGCTGCCGAAGATGAGCATAGGGATGGCCATGTGGTAGTCACCCAGCAGGAGGATAAGTGGAGTGAGGATGCCCCCGATCCTTGAGAAGAAGCTCACCAGCCCCATGCCTGTTTGCCTGGGGAGGTAGCACAAACTGAGCACACCTGGTCTTGCTCCCAGCTGGTTTCAGCCAGAGACCCTATGGAATTCCCCATAGGCCTGTATGGGCTCCAGTCCCCATTGACCCATCCAGTGCTCCTGTGCTCTGCTCCTTCATGCTCCTCCATCTCCAGGCCTCCAGTGCCTGCTACACTCCTCCTCAAGTCTCACCTCTCAGCCAAAGGATGTACCTTCCATCCTTCCTCTTCTCACCTGATTATCCCTAATAATTCTGGCCATTCACTTTAAACCTATCCCACATTGCTACCAGACACAGCTAGGGCATGGGGAACTTTTATATCCATTCTCAACCCAGATAAGGACAACTGATGCGTTGCACTAAATTTCTGGTTTCCCTGGCCCTGTAGCAACTTCACTAGCTATTCATAGACTGGTGGTAAGGGCAGCATAGTGATAGTCAAGATCCACGTACCAGGGTCAGAGGAGGAGTCCTACCATCAGCTCTTACCGGATGACGGTGGGGAAGAGCTCAGCAGTGTACACATAGGAAACGGTGAAGCTGGCAGAGGCGGCAAACTTTCCTAGTACAGCCAGCACTGTGACCACAATGGGCTGATCTGGTGGAAGATGCTGGTCAGCCACACAGACTGGATGTCCCCAATCTTTGTACAACTAGCACCAAAACCTACTGCTCCCAAACTTTGAGGTACCCATACTCTTGACATGGGAGCAATGGCCATTGCACAGACCTCTCTCTAAGATGGGTGAGGATGCATGGTAAACAGCCAGCCATGTACCTGAAGGGATGAAGATGGTGGTGATACACATGACACCACCCACAATCAAAGTCCCAGCCTGGCTCCACTTGCGACCCAACCTCTCCATCATGACGATGCTCAAAAGGCGGGCAGGTACTTCAACTGCTCCGAATATCAGCTGTGTCAGGTAGATGTCCAGGCCAAATTCCCCAACTTGGAAACTAATACCATAGTATACCAGACTGTTCACAAACCTACAAAGGGCCCAAAAGTCCATGTCACTGCTGTGTGTTCAACACCATGACACCCCGAGACAGAGACTGTCCTGGTCAGGGTCACACCAGGAGACACTGGCACTGTTGTGTTGACAGCACTATGGACTGAGGCAACCCATCCCACCATGGCACTGGCACACATGAAGGAAGAGGGAGCCTTCTTACTTTGTCCATGCAGGGGCCATGGGACCTAGCTACTCACCAGACACAGGTGAGAATCAGGGTCACCTTCCTCAGATGGGGATGCTTGAAAAGATCTAAAAAGTTCCCCTTGTGGCCTTGCTCCTCTGGGACCAACTGAAAAAAGACACAGAGTGAAAGGCACAGGGAAGACCTGGATGGGGCAGCTCTGGGGCAGGACAGGGCATGAGCCTGCTGCAGGTACCTGGTTCAGGATCTCTGGAGAGAGCTTGCACCTGTTGACTGAGGCTGCCTTCATGACCAGTTGTTTGGCCTCTTCTATCTTCCCCTGGATGAGGAGCCACCGTGCAGATTCTGGTAGAAGCCTGCAGACCAGGATTGGCTAGGACCTTGGGGTCCAGAGTGCTGTGGTGCCCTCCCAGCCACTGCATGGAACACAGAACGCCACATCGAGCCCTCAGAGCCACTTGTCCTGCAGCAGCCCCTGACCACCCAGAAGATGTGGTGAAAGTGAGGGCTGCACCCCATGCCCACAGCACAACTGACCAAGCACCACCTCATCCCTCATGGGTCTCCTCACCAGAAGTAGAAGAAGAGCAGGAAGGTTGGAGCAGAGGCAGCAATTTGCAAGAATCTCCAGTTTCGGACACCATATGCCATCCCGGCTACTACCATCTGCCCCGCTGCAAAGATGACCTGGTTCAGGGCTATGGCACGTGTTCTCCACGAGGGACCAACCCACTCTGAAACTGTGGGAACAGACAAGTTGTGGCTGGGCCACACATGCACATACATTCCCAGGTTCCCCTGGGATGCCATTATGGTGGCTAGGACCTCAATCCACCCAGAAAGCTATAAAGACTGCATGTGTAGTTTGTGCCCACTTGGGTCCCCCAGTGCCGCTTAGAGGCTTGAAGCAGGCAAGGTCCCAGGGTCACCCTCTGGAACTCCCATGGTTCAGATACTCACTCAGGGCAATGGTGCTCAACATATATCCTGCACCAGCAGTAGCCACAGCAAAGCGTAGGGCCATGTAGAGCTCAAAGCTGGGCACAAAAGCCGTGGCCAGGCCCACAGTGGCAACCAGGAGCAGCTGTAGAAGGAAGCAGGCTCTTCGACCAGTCCTGAGGTAACAAAGAGGCCAGTGGTTACAGGCAGGGACACTCTTTGGGGAAGAGTTATGGAGACCCAGTGGACCTGCCCTAGGCTCTGTGGCAAGCAGGAGACATGGCTCCTACCTGGGAGTCTTATGTGAGGTTCTAGGAACAGAGCCTTATACTGGGGTCCAGTGTTTGGGGCATGAGGGAGTGTGGGCTGCACCAGGAGTGGGGTGGTTAAGCAGCAAGCTGGTCAACATGCATACCGGTCACTCAGGGGCCCGAAGATGATGGCCCCAGCAAGGAGTCCAGCCATGAACACTGACTGCGAGGTCTGCTTCAGTTGCTTCCGATCACAAACCAGGTTGAACTGAAGCACACAGAGGCAGGTGTGAGTCTAGGGGCACTGAGGACAAGTCCTTCAGCACCAATTAGGGCCCAAGGTACCCGAACTGTCTGCATGTTCCCAAGCTCCATAAGAAATCACTGGGCACAGCAGCATCAGTGTGGAGAACACTGTTCAACCTCTGTGCACCACACAATCTGCCAGCGCACTGCAGTCACTGACCAACACGGGGTGGTACGGCCCTCCTTCCAGCAGTCCCGTCCATCTGGGTGAAGTCAGTTCATGGCAGGTACTGTGAGAAAGAGTGACACCCTGTGCATGGTGGCTTTGTAGGGAAAGTGTTCATTGCAGATTTACAGGACTGAGAATTTGTCTCATTCGGGGGAGCACACATTCTAGTAGAAAGCCATTGCATGTATTCTTTGAAAAATAACAACTGGGATGTGTGGTTTGAACTTAGCTATTTGACACCTAGATGGTTAACATTGATCAAGATCTGGTGTAGCACTGCTGCCAAGCTAAGCGTGTAACATTTGTGAGCTTTGACAGACCACTAATGGCTCCTTCCTGAGTCACAGGACCTCTCACCATGGCCCCACTGCCTGAAAAACACTCAGGACTCTCTAAGTCTGCTGTTGCACTCGAGAATCCCCAAAGCCCCACACTGGCAATCTGAGTCCGATGAGCACCCACAGTCCTTCAGGTGGGTACAGAGGAGCACATACAGGAGGGAACAGGGAGGCAGGCAGAGAAAGACACAGTGTATGCATCTGGGGAATTCATACCAATGCCCTCAATAGCCCAGGCTGATTGAACAAGAGACTGGGAAACCCCATGCACACCGTATGGAGGCTGATGTAGCCCTGCGCACTTCCACACTGTGTGCACATGTGATGCTCATGTCTGACTCCATGCTACCAAGCTGAGGCACCTCAAAGGATTTCTGCCTCCTGGAAAAAGTCCTGTTCTGTGTCCATGTGGTATGGAGAAAAGCGCTGGCGTCTCCTGCATCATGACCCCCAGGACCCTTGCCGTGTGATGGCCCTGTGCTGAGCACTCTGCACACACCATCTCCTGTACTGCTGCTCCCTGCTGTCCTTATAGTTACAGCTCACTGAGGGAGGAGAGGTCCGCAGCCAATGCTCACTCAGCCACTGGATGGCAGCATAGCAGCACCATGTCTCTGTGAAGCCCACTGAAGGAGCAGGGAATGTGTGCTGAAGCGAGAGCCAAACTGATGCTCTCTAGTGAATCAGCACAAGTTCACTGATGTGGGGCAAGAAATAGCCTACGCAGGACTCAACGCAGAACTCATCCTTGCTTTCTCAAGCACAACTTACGGACTTTTGTATGTGTCAAATACTTAATTAGCCCTGGAAATGAAGCAAGGCAGGGCAGGAGGCTTCAGTCTTCTACCCAGTTTTATATGGTTTGGGTTAATTTAGGAACTACGGAATCCTTTAGTAGGAAGATACAAATTTAATAAATAAAAATAAAAATGATAGCTCCTACCAGACTTGAGTCAGAACTGAGCACCTCTGGAGGCCTACAGACTTGAGCTGACTGGAGTCCACCTAACAGGCACAAAATCTGCTGCACGGCATTGTCTAGTGGAATGAAGGCAATTCACAATTCTGGGCCTCAGAGTCCACCCAGACCTTATTCCTATGCAGGTGGTCCAGAGCTTCCTGAGTTCTCAGGTCAAGGCAGCAGGGCATCGCCTCCTCTATCTGTCTCTCCTTCTTACTCCTCAGTGGGCTTTGCCAGGATAGAACTGTCAGAGCAGTCCTGAAGTGAATCAACAATTGCATTGGAATGATGGCACGGAAAAGCTCCCAAAATGTGG